AGAACGTTAACTGAAATGTTAAATTCCATGTTACTTACGGCTGGCATGCCTTCCTCCTATTGGGGAGAAGCAGTTCTAACTGCTAATCACATCCTAAACAGGTTACCGCACTCTAAGTTGTCTATGACACCTTATGAGATATGGCATAAGTATCCTTGTAGATATGATACTCTTAAGACTTGGGGCTGTGTTGCTTATGTAAGAATACAAGATCTAAAAGACCTAAAGTGGGACCTAGAACCATTACTTGTGTATATCTAGGTTGTGCGGAAGATAGTGCTGCAAATAGATTTTTAGATCTATCTACTAATACAGTGATAGAATCTAGAGATGCAGAATTTTTCGAGAACAAGTTTCTCAGAGATCATGGCTTGAATGTTTCTGGATCTACAGATATGATTTCAGAGTCTCCTGTAGAATTTGAAGCAAGCTCTTCTGACACTAATTCCCCACAGCTGACTGTTGAACAAGCTCCAGTTAGAGTATCTACAAGAGATAGGGTTCCCAAAAGTTTTGGTGAGGACTTTGTTACTTACCATCTAGAGGATGATCCATTCTCCTATCAGGAAGCAATGAGATCTAGGGAATCCCTACTGTGGGCAGAAGCCATAGATGATGAAATGAGCTCTCTGCTACAGAACCACACTTGGCAGCTAGTCCATTTGCCAAAAGGGGCTAAGGCTATAGGCTGTAAGTGGGTATTGAAGAAGAAACTAAATAGTGATGGATCAATAGCCAGATACAAAGCACGTTTAGTAGCTAAAGGCTATAAACAACTGAGTGGAATAGACTATTTTGATGTTTATTCACCTGTGTGTCATCTATCAACTATAAGAATTCTTCTTGCTTTGGCATCTATTGAACACTTTGTAGTGCATCAAATGGATGTAAAGACAGCTTTCCTAAATGGAGAGTTAAATGAGGAAATCTACATGGAACAACCGGAAGGGTATGTCATGAAAGGTCTTGAGGACAAAGTTTGTAAATTGAACAAATCTTTGTATGGTCTTAAACAAGCACCTAAGATGTGGCATCTTAAATTTGACAAAGTGGTAAAAAGTTATGGCTTTCAGTCTAGTTATTCCGATAAATGCCTTTACCATCGTTCTATGTCAAATAAGATAGTCATCATTTGCGTGTATGTTGATGACATGTTAATTCTTGGTTCCGATCATTCTGTAGTGAGTGACGTGAAAGCTACTTTAGCTAAAGAATTCAACATGAAAGATCTTGGTATTGCTAATACCATTCTCGGTATGAAAGTAAGCTTTGAAAGGCAAGTCATCTCCCTTAGTCAGACTCATTATATGGAGCAACTACTTTCTACCTGGGAATACAGTGAGTGTAAACCGAGTGCGACACCATGTGATTACAATAAAAGACTGAGTCCTAATGAAGGGACCAGTGTTGATCAGTTAAAGTACTCGAAACTGATTGGTAGTCTCATGTATGCCATGAGTTGCACTAGACCTGACATAGCCTTTACAGTTGGCATGCTGAGTCGTTTCACTAGTAATCCTAGTAAAGAGCATTGGGATGCCCTTAGTAGGCTGATGAGATACCTTAAAGGTACTAAAGATTATGCTCTATGTTATTCTGGTTATCCTCCAACTGTAGATGGATATTCTGATGTCTCATGGTGCTCAGAAATTGGAAATAGTAAGTCCACTAGTGGATATGTATTCACTTTGGGTGGAGCTGCTATTACTTGGAAATCCAAAAGACAGACTTGTATTGCATTGTCGTCTATGGAATCAGAACTTTTTTCTTTAGCCTCAGCCGGCGAAGAGGCAGAGTGGATAAAGAATCTAATTATGGATATTCCTTTGACTCAGCTAAAGATTAATTCTTTAAACTTGTTTTGTGATAATCAAGCCGCTGTCCAAGTCGTTAAGAATGCTCTCTTTAATTCCAAGAGAAGGTATGTGAGACTGAGACATGCGTTGTTGAATTATCTGCGCGAACAAGGAGTTATCACCTTGATCGATGTGCGATCGACGGATAACATGGCCGATGCTCTCACAAAGGGTATGCCTACAGATCGATTATTCAAAACAGTGAGGGAAATGGGGTTAAAGACTATGTAGATATGTCTTAATTACCATTTACTTACCTTCTAATTGTATGTTTTGCATTATCGAATCTTCCTTTGTTGGCCACAATGATAAGCACAATTTGTGTTTCATCGATGTTCATGGTTGCTGATTAATTTGAAAAGGGTGAGTTGTCTCATTCCAAACTTGATGAAGATAACGTTAACCCAATTCAAAGGTTCTATCTGGGGAGCTTGTGTCATTCCAAATTTGATGATACAATCCACCTAGATCGGACTATCCTTTTGGTTAAATAATCTCATTCCAAACTTGATGCTAGATTATGACTTTAAGGAATTAGTAATTGTGACATTCCAAATTGAAATACAGAAATAGTTGTTTGCATAAGAAGTCTGTTGGTTATTGTAAGTGACATGACTATTGGTCCTGTTCTTTGAAACTAGACAATGGTTATTCTCTTATAAATACACCGAACTTGATGGCTCTTTGTAATTCAAACTGTTTAGGCCTTGTTCATAATTATGAAACTGGCTTGATGCTTATGAACATGATATTATGATGCTTTATGACATTAATATATGTTCTTCTCTGCCTGATTGAATTCATAATAATATGAAATTCATATTTGACATTCTACAGGGGATGGCAGAGATGGAGGAGAGCTTACTGGGTGGGATCCTGACCAAGATGATCTATTAGATGAATGAATTTATCATTTAGAGTATATAGGGACTTGACAAGTCACCTGCTATTGCCCATTTTGATGGAGTTCATTTACTTGAGACTTCCATTTTGCTATCTCTATTTTGTGAACATTATTGTGTTTGGTTGTGAACTGATTCTGAGATTTATTTTGGATATTGGGATTTGTATGAGTTTAAACTGAATTTGAAACTCTTCATATTTAATTATATGTATTGATCTCAGAACAGATTCATGATAAGGATGATTCACTTATTTAGATTGAAAATTATGATTGAGTTTAATATTTAGTGCTAAAACTCTTTGACCGATCCAAGTTGATTGTCTTGGACTGAATGTGGATGATTCATATTTGTTTGAACATTACACTGATCACCGTATTGGATTGTGCTGTATGGTGAACATAGGAGGAGATTGTTGGATATATTATTAATATAGTCCAAATAATATGTTCACATACAAGCCCAATAGGTTTAAAGTATGATTATTTTGGGCCCATATGGGCTAGAGCCCAATAGCTTACATATAAACTCTAGGGTTTCCCTACGCTGGAGGTAACACTGTTGAGCATTCCAAACTTGACGTCTCTTGGTGTAATACTTTAAGCAAAACACAATTTTCTCTCTCAAATCCATAACCTCCAACATATATATCTATATATAAGTTGCACTCCAATGTATGTATAGGAGGAAGGGGCAAGCATCATTGTGAAGAGCACTAACAAGGAGAGAACAAGAGAGAAGCTGCAAATCTCAAAAAGAAAAGGGTTTTGCATGAGAGATTTTCATTTCGAAGATGGGCCTTGCAAGTCACCATGAGCTCTGTAGACACTTAGAAGATCTTACATTATAATTTCATATTGAACTCCACGTGCATTACAATTATATAGGAACTGAACTGTTAAGATTCGGCACACAATCACAATAAACTAGAGAGTAAAAGCGATAAAAGAAAATCGATACATAAAGTTTTTATCCAGGTTCACCCTTAAATGAGTGCTATATCTAGCATATGATTCCACTATAATTAACACATCCCAACAATCTCTCACTTGGTGAATACTCCATATGCTTCTTTAATTCCAACACAGTTGTACACCATTCTAACTTTTCTGCACTCACTGTCTAGGTAAAAAAATATGTACTATTCGCATGTGTGTCAACTTTCTTCAGTATTACAACCTTCTGCTCCATTTTCTCTCGGATAAGGTGATATTGTATATTGATGTGCTTTGTAGCATGAAAACTAGGATTCTTAACCAAGAATATAGCACTCTGATTATCACACCCAATCTTCACTTCTCCTTGTGTGAAACCAAGCTCCTTATACATTCTATGCATCCGGATTACTTCCTTAGCAGCATAAGTAAGGACTATGTACTCTGCCTTAATAGATAAAGCAATCGTGCATTGTCTCTTACTCATCCAACTCACAGCTCTGCCAAATAAGAAAACAACATTGTTGTCCAACTTTGAGAAAAACCCCAAATTCTCTCTCACAATGCAAGTGGAGGTTCTTGCTCAACGTGACGAGACAAGAACGAGCAAGAGAAGGCATTGGGTCTGGTCTCGAGCCGGGTTTCAAGAACGAAGACATCGATGGGCCGAGTCGGGTGTGTATTGATGCATGCACATACGTCAAATGAACAGAAAAACCAACACAAGTTGATCGACCGCTGTGACTTTCATCAGCAAATTCACTGTGGATAAGAAAAATTACTTCAACGAGCGACCTGAGATGTCAAAACCCCTTCTTGTAGAACAAGAAAAGGTCATGTGTGAATGTTAAAAATATTCATTAGATACCGTTAGATATTTATTTTTTTCATTTTAGATGTTACCATCTTTTTATGGTTACGTGTCACTATACTATTCGCTATGATAATGTATTTTAATATACGCTACAAAAAATTAGTAACTGCATAAGTATCGAAAAAGTTACCAACAAACGAAATGACAAAATGTGATTCACGAAACGTTAATTTTTGGCGGAAAGGTTGCTGCATTGCAGATAGTGATGCATGCACATACGTCAGATTACTTCAACGAGCCACCCTGAAGATGTCAACATTTGCTCAGTCAAAATTCTATTCATGCAATTGATGGGATGACTAGAAATGTCACGTTAAAAGACGACTTCCAGTTACGTGTCAAAGACGGACTTCCTAAACCCTAATAGTTATTTATTTATTTATTGGATCTCTATTTATTTCTCGTTTGTTTGTATTCCCACAAACATCACACGCTCACGCAACACAAACAGACAGACACGCAGCCACACGAGAAACAGCGATGGACGTAGTAGTACTGAGCTCAGGACACGGAATGCCGTTGATCGGGTTCGGAACGTTGACGATGCCTCTTCCAATGCATGATGTGTTGACTTTCGCTTACCTGGATGCCATCGAGGCCGGGTACCGCCACTTCGACACGGCGGCCCAGTACGGTACGGAGGAGCCGCTTGGCCAATCCATTGCCGAAGCCATGAAGCGTGGCCTCGTCGAGAGCCGCGACAAGTTCTTCATCACCACCAAGCTCTGGTGCACCGACGCCCATCCGAACCTCGTTGTTCCTGCCCTCAAGAATTCTCTCAAGTAATTAATCATACTTAGGGTTCGTATGTTTGAAGGAAAACAATTTCCGGGAAATTGTTTTCCGACTTTTCGTTGCTTGGATGATAGAAAACTAATTAATCTACGGAAAATATTTTCCATGTACAAACTTAGATTGAGCGAAAATGACTTCCCCTTCTAGCAAGAAGGTAAAGTAACAAATGAAAACTAATCATTTTCCTTGGAATTGATTTCTATAGAAAACATTTTCCTTTATTACGAAGTTTTTAGTGGAACAAATGCACCTTTAGGGAATGCTTTCTATGAAAATCATTTTCAAGGAAAATGTTTTTGCCTTTTCAGAATAGGGCATTCATTTTCCTCACTTTAAGCATGTATATTTTCTTCGACTGTAAATGATTTTTCGTTGACTAATCATTTTCAGCAAATCAAATGTATGAAAGTGCGGAAAGCTAATTCACAGAAAATTCTTTCACTCAAATAGATATATCCTTCATTCTTCTCGAATTTCTCTCTCTTTTTCTCCGGTTTATTTAGTTTCTATAATTTTGGGATACATTTTTAAGTCATATGACAAAATGGAACATCAAGACCATATGAAATCATTAAGTAATCTCGTCCTTTCCGACATGTATTAGTTTTCACTGTGGATATAAATACCAGTAGCATGCATTTGGATTTTGGAGGTTATTTTGAATCTTATATTACATATATATTACTTTCTTGGAGTCATATCAGTTCTTTTTTTGTTTTTTTTGTTTTTGCAATTGGCGTGTATACTCATTGTTTAGGAGGCTAGGGTTAGAGTATGTGGATCTGTATCTAATCCACTGGCCGGTGAGACTGAAGGAAGGAACCGAAGGGATAAACTTGAAAGGCAAATTGCTTCCATTCGACATCAAGGGCACATGGGAGGCCATGGAAGAGTGCTCCAAGCTGGGCTTGGCCAAGTCCATCGGAGTCAGCAACTTTGGCACCAAGAAGCTCTCTCAACTCCTCATCCATGCCACAATCCCCCCTGCTGTTAATCAGGTAAAAGAAAGAATATATGTGAAGATTTTTCAGTCGAATTATTTTCAAATGAAGATTTTCTTCAAGATTTGTTTTTCTCTTCTTTGTGGGTTAATCATGATTTAGGTGGAGATGAATGTGGCATGGCAACAAGAGAAACTGAGGACGTATTGCAGAGAGAAGGGAATACATGTGAGTGGTTGGTCTCCATTGGCAGCGAATGGAGCTCCTTGGGGTTCATTAGCCGTTATGGAGAATCCTCTGCTTAAGGAGATTGCTATTGCCAAGGGAAAGACCGTGGCTCAGGTAAATTTATTATTTACTTTTTGGCCTTTGTGTTCCTCTGTTGGGAGAAAAGGAGACTGTTTCTCCGGTCTCGCGTCGCCCATATAAAGGGTTGCCATGCTGGTAAATAAGTCTCGTCCAACCTTAGATTAGCACAATAAATTTTAAAGCTAGGCATAGGTAAACCATGGCCCAAATGAATAACATCATGCTAACAGCGAATATGAGGAGGCCTAGCTTATAATTTTCCTCCTACTGTAATATAATGCAAAATCTAATTGAATCTTGCAATTAAATCTATACAAAATCATCAGAGTAATCAAACGAGAAACAGTAAAGAACACTTAAGACTTACATGATTTGGTCCGGTGGCGGTACCTACTCCACGGTGAGAGCAAGCCGTAAATAATCAACTAACCAAAATGGAGAATTTCAGATTTACGATCATGCGCACGTTCAAGTGATTCCAAGCCTTAGTTTATATCCAAATTTACAAAGTTGACAAAGAAAACAAATCAATTGGGTGAAGAACTTAAAGCGCAAATCCACCCGTTGTCAGAGCTCTTCGTACGCCTAATAAGAGAACTTCTCTGTACGATTTTTGAAGAATTCCAATTTGCGTCCATACAGAAGTCAACCGGACACACCCACAAGCTCTCAAATCACGAGTGTTTTCTTCTTGTTCTAAGCAACTTGCAGGACATCGACCCCAAACAAAAAAAAAAAAGCAACTTACAGGACTCCACAAACATGTGTTAAATAAAGAATGGGAGCCCCAAAGATGGAAGTTGACTTATCAAAATAAACAAGGAAACTTCCTTCTGCGGTTTCACCGAAGAATTTCAGCCGAGAATAATAGGAGTTTATTTCCTATTTTTCACGAAACAAATCTCATCAACCATCCGAACTTTCCTAGTGAACATTGGGTTGGGTTTTGCTCACCGGCTCAAACTTGAGACATAATTTAACACTTCCGTTGTTACATGTATCTATATGTAGGTGGCACTAAGGTGGATATATGAGCAAGGGTCAAGCATCATTGTGAAGAGCTCCAACAAGGAGAGAATGAGAGGGAACCTGCAAATTTTGGGATGGGAACTTAGCCAGGACGATTTGGAGAGGATGAAGCTGCAAATCCCACAGAGAAGAGGCTGCGCAGGAGAGATTTTCATTGCTGAAGATGGACCTTACAAGTCGGTGGATGAGCTTTGGGATGGAGATGCTTGACCATCCCACACATAATTTTTCTTATTATTTGATGTGTTTGCAATTATATGTATGAGCTGAATAAGGTGTTTTCAAGAATAAGTTTGAGAATAAATATGTGAATTCGAGAAAATTTTTCAAAAAAGTCCTAAACCATTGTATGGCAGCCGATTCAATCATAAATTTTCGAATTTAGCCAATTTAATCATAAACATTTTTGACGATTTTTCAATGTAGTCCTTCCAACCAGAGAGAGAGATATTCACACTGGTCGTCGAAGACTGAACCGTGTTGACTTAGGAGTCCCGTTACCTTGTCGCCCCTACGATGCTCAATACACTAGCAAGCAACGTTGTTGGTGATACGATCAACAACAATCGCTCGCTAAAAGAGAAGGAATATCCATATGATATTTCATTTCTCAGGATGAGCCTTTCAAGTTACTAGATGAGCTCTAAATTGTGCATACTTGAATTAGATGACACATCTTATTATTCATATGTGATAGTCAAGGATTACTCTCTTATGATCTCTTGCAAATGATGATGATAAAAAAATTGCAACTTTTATTTGTTATTTCCATGTAGCAAATCTATATGAACTCGACCTTGTGTTTTTATTATTGTTGCGACTTTCCTTGAGGTGAATTAGATGACACATCTTATTTGAGTTTACTTGTTGATGTTTATTCCTTCTTCTTCTTTTTTTTACATCACCAATTTCTCCTATCTTTGAAAAAAAATTCGCTCTTTATTTATCATCTTTTATTTAGCCTTATATCAACGCCTTAAATTTACCAACTACTCTATGCAATTACCATCCTTTAATTGATGACCAAGTTCATTAAATTTCCGCTTTACGTAACTCAATAGAAAAGTTAGTGAAAAAAAATAAACATAGATAGCTGACTCAAGTGAGAGTTAGAAACTACTTGATAACTCAATCTGAAAAAGTTTATATATGATTTAAATTAAAATTAGTAGTTTCGTATCAGAGTTGGCAACTTTAAGGTCTTAACTAAGAAAGATAAAGAAAAGTAGGTAAAAGATTAAATAAGTTGATGACTTAAAGAAAAATAAACTTTGTAAAGTAACTCAATGCGATCTAGTTGGTAAGCCAAATTTAGTCGTTAACTTAATGAGAGGAAAGTTGGTAACTCTAATTAAGATGGTAATTTATAATAAAAAGTGGAAAATTTAAGGTCTTGCTAAGAAATGCAAATAAAATATTAAGAAAAGTAGACAAATTAAAAACACACACATATCTATGTGTGTGTGTGTGTGTAAGTAACTAAAAAAAAAGTAACTCAAAAGAGAGTTAGTAACCCAAAACTATGTAGTGTTTTAAATAATGGGAATAAAGTTGCTAAGTCACATTAGTTTATGTTGGTAATATTTAAAAATTTAATAATTGTAATGCTAGCCAAGGCAAATGAAATAGTTCCTCAATAGAAAAGTTGATAAACTGAAAAAGAAATTAAACTTTAGTAGGTGACTCAAAAGAAAGTCAGTAATTCAAAACTAGTTGGTAATAATATAATTTGAAAAAAGCTGGTAAATCATTCTAATTTGAGTGGGTAAGTTCATATAAGAGTTAGTAAATTCGAAGCGTTAATAAGTTATGTAAATAAAAGTTGGTAAATCAGTACCAACAGCGCTAATTTTGCTAAGTACAAAAGAAAGGTTGTACTTTCATAAGTATTGGTAAATTATCAATGAGTGAATTGATGAAATTGGATTGACAGAATTTAATCTTGGCGGAAAGAATAGCTCCATGACAACTATTGATGCATGCACATACGTCATATTAACAGAAACACCAACAAAAGATGAGAAACCGCTTTGACTTTTATCAGCAAAGCCCACCGCACGAGAAAAATTACTTCAACGAGCGACCCGAAGATATCAACATTTGCGCTGTCAAGATTCAAATTATGCAATCGAAGGGATGACTTTTATCCAAAAATCACGTGAAGTTTGAGACCCCTTCTTACATGAATATTGAAAGATCAATTGCAATTACGTGTCAAAGAAAGACTTCCTGAATCCTAACACTTTTTCCACTGCTTTTTTTCCCAGGATCTCTTCGTTTATCTGTACTCCCCACGAAGAAAGACAAAACACACAAACGAGAAACAACAATGGACGAAGTACTGAGTTCAGGACTCAGAATGCCGTTGATCGGTTTGGAACGGCCACAACGCCTCTGCCACCACACAATATCCTGACCTTATCTGGGCGTCATCGAGGTGGGTGTCATTTGTAGCTGTAATCGTTTGTCCTCTCCATGCATGTCCTTGTCCGTCAACGGTGTCTCTCTCTGTGTTTTGTGGATGAACCCGTGTGCGTGTAATAGTCAAAATCATAAGGTTTAGTGGAACCGGCAGCTTCAGCAGCCATACAATTCAAATTGGTGTGTGCTCCTGCATTGCTTTTAGTCTTGTTCTATGTGCACAGCGTAAACGAAAGCTAACTAAAAGAATTGTTTACCTTGTTGCTCTGTCATTTTCATTTCTATTAGTGGTCGGCAAGACTAACCTTACCCAAAAGCGACACTGATATTTCTTGTACAATATCTTCCAATCTGTCTCTTTCTGTCCGCCTGCAATAAAGGGCGGACAAATATTTTAGCCACCATTTAATTTTCTTTTTATTTTTTTTTTGGGGGAGGGGGGGGATGGAGAAGCGTATCTAATAAGTAAAAGGAAAATCATGATCCATGAAATACTTAATAATAAGTTTATGACTATTTTGGTAATTTTCTCAATTATCATGTGTTCCTTACTTACATGTATATATAAAGGTTGCACTGAGATGGGATATATGAGCAAGGGACAACCGTGATAGTGAAGAGCTTCAACAAAGAGAGAATGAAAGAGAGCTTGCAAATCTTAGAATGGGAACTCGGCCAAGAGGATTCGAGCAAGATCAAGCTTCAGATCGCACAGAGAAGAAGATATCATGGTGACATGTTCATTTCCAAGGATGGGCCTTAGAAATCATTGGATGAGGGCTGGGATGGAGATGCTTAGATACCTACATTTGTATAGCTCATTTGATTGAGTGTGACTATACGATGAATTTCTTGCCAATAATCATGATCAATCTATATGAATCGAACCTTGTGTTTTCATTGTCATAATCTCTTCTTTTATATTATGTTATGAAAGTATTGTCCCGACGGCGAGCCTGATGAAGCATCTTATAAGTAGAAAGAAAGTCAAATGTTTTTTTAGTAAACTTAATAAACCTACTAAAACAAAATTGGACAGTTAAATTTTGGTAGGATCCCACTTGAGATTCATCACATGAGATCCAACAAGTTTTAAAGACCAACTTTATCTTAATACATATAAGAGATTTATCAAAAAATTGCACACATGCACGGCCAATTCACTCTAAGGATAAAAAGCTCGTGTAGGTAATAGTCAGTAGAGAAATGATTAAGTGACAATTTTTAACCTGCTGTGAAATTAATAGCATGTTCTGAACCACAAAAAATAAATAAAAAATAATTATAAATTATTGTGTGGTCCACTTTTTTAAGAATTTGTAGCTCACAATATACCGATTACTCTCACAGCGGCCCAAAGATTATTATGCTATCAAAGCCCAAGTCAAAATCATAAGATAAGGTTCAATGAATGGCATTTTCGGCAGCCACACACAACTCAATTTGATGTTTTTTTATGGTCAATAACTCAATTCATGTTTGATTAAAGGTTATATAATCTTACCCAAAAAAGAAGAGGTAGTCCAATGAGAATGCATACATAGAAAAGGCCAAAAAAAAAAAAAACCTTTAGTCAGGATTTATTTCCAATACATATGTATTTGTGGATTTGTATATGTATGGTGTTTTTTTTCTCTGTCAGTACCTCATACATGCAAAATCAACAAGGAATGACACTTTCGGGTGTATATTATGCAAAGATTCTATCTTGCATTAGTGAGATGAAGTCCGCGTTGATGCATTCAAGATAACTATTCATTGCTCCGAGTCAATTACTTGTTATAGAGACTTTCCATTTTTTTCATATGAAAAAGGGTAAAAGCCAAATACAAAAATTTAACGTCATAAATTTAGTATTCCTATTTTAATGGCTAATAAAATATGAAGTAATTCTGTAGGAGGTAATGAAAAGAAACTAGTATCCAAGTGCTTATCGATTCCAAAATTAGTTAGGAGAGCGATTTCCCCAAAAGTTATGTTGCGTTTAAACTCAAAATAAGAACGCAGCAGTCTTCTAATATCTTTAAGCAAAGCAGGGCAGCATTGTCAATCATAAACTTTGGGCTAACAAGATCAGTGATGGCTTTAGAGTCAATCTCAATGATGATTTTATGAAAACCAAATTGTTTTGCGAAGTTGATTACCAACCACAAAGCCCAAAGTTCTACTTGTGTCGATGAACATAGTCCTATAAATGCAGTAAAACCACCAAGTCAGTCACCCCCTTCATTTCTAAATAAACCCCCTGCACCAGCAAGTCCTAAGTTACCTTTAGAGGCCCCATGAGTATTTAGTTTAATCCACTCGGAAGGTGGAGGATCCCATCTGACCAAAATTGGAGAAGTGCATAATCCACTTAACGTCGAGTTATTCACAGATGAAGCTTTAATGATTTCCTTTGTGTATGACCGAATTACTTGTATCAGATTAGAAGGGAAAAGCAAGTTGTCATGGAAAAGTGACTTGTTTCTCCGTTGCTAAAAAAGCCACACACCAACTCCAAAAATTATGCTCTAATCACAATGGAAATTCGATCGTCCTTTACCAGTGAAATTTGAATTCAACCATTGCGACAAATTCATTGAGAAGAATTCTCCCAAATATTGTTGTGGGACAAACTTAAGCCACATCCTTTGGACAATTGGACAATCCCTTAGAACATGTAAAGTTGTTTTCACATGAGACACATCTCAAGCAATGTGGATTTTCTCCCAAGTTGTGAGACGTTGTCAATTCATTCGTCAACGGTCATTTATGAGCGGCCAGCCAGAAGAAAGTTCTAATAAGTCTTCAATTTGTGCTTGAGTTCATTTTCTTCTGCTG